GAAAGAGAATGAGGAGCCTAAAGGCACATTTGAATGCAATATATACATGTGCGTGTGCAAACACTGCAAAGATAACTATGAATGACTTCAAAGAAAGTCTCAGTGTAATGTGTGCATGATGAGTATTTATGAAGTGTAAAATGGGTACATCCTTCTACTTTACCCAGCAAGTGCACATGTCAAAGCACAGTTCTCTTTTCATCTGACGAGATCAGAACAATTAGAATCAAGACTATGCAGAACACCTGATGATTACTACTGCATAATTCTTATTGATGAATTCTTTTCCCCAGAGAAATAATATGTGCTTCTTAATGCTCATTAAAGGTGGCTGAAGACCTGTGTACACTAATAGGCATGGAACAGACAAAAGGGCAAGTTTGTGCTCAGAAAGCATGCCAACTAGGGAAATAGGGTCGTCTCCATGGAGTAGTCCAACCCTTCCAAAATTCCCAACATGTAGTTTTCGTGGTCTTCCAAAATTGCCAACTGCATCAACTGCCACCAACTGTGATGGCAAATCAGTTAATAATTCATCAAATAAGAACTGGGTTGAGATCACCATATCATTCTAACAGGTTCAAAAGAATCACCTGGGGACAGGGTCTTTGACCTAAATTAACTGGGGATTTATCTACACTTGTGGCAAAATTGAACAACTTATTGGATTTCTATATAATATACATGAAAGCACAGTTAAAAACTTCTAACAGATGTATATAGAAAAATATTTGCTCTTACCAAGCTCATTCATTGCATGCCTATGTTCTTCATCAAATGAAAGTTTCATCAGAACACACACTGCAGGACAGATCTGATGGTCAACTGGAGCTGGCACTGTTCCACCCCACCCGAAAAGGAAACAATTAATATTTACTTGGTCTATTAAAAGGGTGTTGTCAAGATAATATACCTTGAAGGGAATGCAATTTTAAAGTAAATTTTAGTTGGATTACTGAAATAATGCAAGAAAAGACTAATTAATTGTGCATTCTAATGAAAATGATTTGTGGACAGACTTACACATAAGTATAACCAAACTTCTAGATATTTAATTTCTGGTGCTGCAAATATTCCTTGTAAATAGGAATTTCCACCTGATCAAACAAGTAGATTTTGAAGGCTAATACATTTATTTGGCTAATTAACTTGACAGTGGGCACTGGTGGAAAGAATGGAAACGTTTTCCCTTAAATCAGAAACAATGTTAGAAAAGTTAAATTGATACGTTAACATTTTTTCTCTGAAAAAGCGCATTTATTTTACAGTGACAATACTATAATAGCTTAAAATTCCCTGATCTATCATACACAGGTTATCTTTAATAGTTGCATGCATTACATTGAATAGACTGGAACTAGACTGCTCTATTTGTGCCCTTCTAAGACCAATTTTGCCCAAAAGAAGAAAAAAAAAGGAGATGCATATCTCCTTAGAATATCCCTCTCTCTGAGTAAAAGATTAGGATTTTAAAAACCATTACATAGTCAACAAATACAGTTACCATGAATTTTAAAAACAAATTCATACAGAGTACAAAAAAAATCTTAAGAGTCTGCTTAGAAAAAGTACTAAAGTCTAGT